GGCCGGGGATTTAGCTCATGGGTTCCACTGCCTCCCTCACAAGCCGAAGCACCCGAGTTTGATCTCCGATACCAACCAAAAAAAAAAAAAGGAAGAATGCTAAGTTCTGTGTGTGCTCATTCCCCCCAGAAAGAAGACTCCGACTATTCACTAAGTTTCGGAGGGTCCTTGAGCCAAACGGGGGTTCTGACCCAGCTCTGGGCCACAGCACTGCCTGGGACCCCTTGCAGGTGACCCACACCCACATCACTCCTGGACGCCCAGTTCAGGGCAGCACCTGGGCCTGGAGCCTGCACTTCCCCAACGCTGCCCAGGTGTCCAGGTGTGATAGCTCATCCATGTCGCCCCAAGAGCCTTCCACCCAACAAGCCTCAGTGCCTGGCCCAAGCCCAGCCAGCTGCACTGAGCTGCAGGGACACCTTGCCACCAGGACTGCGCCTTCCTCACCCCACCTGTCAACCCCACCTCAACCCAGAGGACTGACTTTGCACAGGTCACTGAGAAAGCATACACAGGCACAAGACACACCTGGGACCTAGCCCTAGTCCTCTCAGTTTCTGGGGCGGCCCCACACTCTAGCTCACATCTGACACCGACTGTCATCACCAACTGTGCTCCTGCTCCCTCTACAGGGGGTCCTGGCCTGGATATCTGATCTCACATTCACCCTGTTTTGTTTTTTGTTTTTGTTTTGCAGTACCAGGGATTGAACTCAGGACCTTGTGTTTGCCAGGCAGGCATGGGGCCACTGAGCTACATCCCCGCCCCCTCACCCTGGTTTTAAGGCAGTGACGGTGATCACTTCTAGACAAGCACAATGGCACAATACCAGACTGTAGCTGGCCCTTTCCCACAATCAGCCCCATCAAGCCTTTCCTTTATTCAGTAAAACACATTAACTGCATACCTGTCGTGCCACCACCGCTGCCTCCCTCTCCCCAACCCTGGGGTGCTTCGGCATGTTCTAGAATCCAGATTCAGCCCAGCCACCCTACCGACCCTTAAGCACCCCCGACAGCCCAGAAAGTTTGTTCTCTGGCCAGCTTTCTAGTGGTCCCAGCCTCTCCGGGAAAGGTCTGTACTCAGGACCTGGCTGTGCTGAGATCAGCTGAGAGCCCCTGGAATGACGCATGGCTCGGCAGCAAGGACAGAGGCTCCAGACCCCAGAGCCAGGCCAGGAGGCACAGGCCTAATACCCAGACCAAGGCCAGGCACTGCCCTTCCCGTCCATCCAGCATTCCTCAGGCACAGGCTACAAGCCTGCAGCATGTTTCTCAAAACTAACCCAACAGGCATTCCACCGCAAAGGAGAAAGACCCACAAACACCAAGGAACAGTCCATACATGCACACATCCTCAAATCTAGTCCATTCTGAAGCCTCACTTCCCCTGAGCCTGACTCAGACTGTGGTATTTGTACTACCAGAAGTTCCAGCTGAAAGAGATGAGCGCTTTGAAATTCTGCCAAGTGACCCCACGTTATTCTGGGATTTGGAAGAAAAGGGAAGAATGTCGTGAAGTTCATGGAAATACCGCAGTGAGCTGCTTAATCACATTTATTAACAAGAGCTGCAGGTGTGGCCCAAGGGAGGCTCACTCCCACATCACAGCTTGAACCCAAACAAGCAGTCTGATGAGGCTGTGACACTAACAGATGAAATGTATTAGCAAAAACATTTTGAAAAGGCAAAAATGATGGCACAAACATTAATTAATTACTGTACATGGAAACTACATTTAAAGTGTCAAACTAGAACCTTAAATAGTCTTAGGATTTAAGTACTTTTTGTAATAGTCATGTTCAAATACAGTACTTCCTTTCAGTCTCAAGGTTACAAATCAACCTTGAAGCACACTAAATCTTGGAATTAATCCTTACATTTAACAATTAGTACTAAACGCTGTTAGGTGTCCACACGCAAGTGGAAATACAGCAATGAGGAGGAGACAGTGCCACACACCCAGCAGTGCAGTCCACAGGGCCTCAGCAGGTCACAGCAGTCGCAGCCTCAACTGTCCGAGGATCTTCTCATAAGACCCTCGCCTGATGGTCCCTCATTCCACAGTAACTAATTCCCAACAGAAGACAAGTTTGCGGGCCAAAGATTTTCCCGGCTCCCTCTTCAGACTGCACTGGTGTGTGTCTAGTGTCATTACAGGGTGTCACCTTCAGCACTCCTGGGTAGGGGAACCGAGGATGTCCAGAGGGCCTACAACATACCAGACGCTTGATGCTGTATTTTCACATACATTTCTCACAATCACCCATTTTACAGCCAAAGATATGAGTGGACAAACAGTGACCTTCCTCCTGCCAAACAGCCCCGGTGACAAGACCCAGGGCCCCAGCCTGAGCTCCCCCAACCCCTCACACCCACCTGCACAAGACAGTTAATCTCAGGCTGTGATGTCAACCACTGAGGGCCATCACCACCGCTGCTCAGAGACAGCTGCCCTACCTGCCTCGGGCTGGCCCCAAAGGGACAACCAGGAGGACAAGGCTTTTCTGAGACATCAGAAGAATTATTTTCAAAATGCAGTAAACTTGCAGACAGCATAGAATGTGAAATAGATCAATCATCATAAAAAAGGGAATGTTAAATTTTCAGTCAGCGGAATATCAAAAGACTTTAAAAGTCGAGCAAGTCTCAAGGAACATCCAAGAAACTTTTGCTAGCATTTCCAGGGACATGAAGAAGAGACGAGAGAATGAAAGCCAAGAGGCACTTTTTCAAATATTAAGAGAACACTGCTCACCAGGGATTTAGCTCAGTGGTTTCGCTGCCTGCTGCGCAAGCGCACAGACCCGAGTTCGATCTCCGGTACCAAAAAAAACCAAAAAAACAACAAAAAAAGAGAACACTGCTCATTAAAGCAGAAAGCACAGGAGTCTGACCACCCCAGATGCACCGGGAGGAGGGAGAGGAAATGCCCAAGCATACGTCTAAGGTCTGACTACAGACTCGGATGGAAAGGAAAACCTCAGCCTCGAAGCTGGATCCACACCTGCCCATTCAAACTCACCCTCTTCTCTCAACAAACACCAACAATTTCACTAGTAACAAAGGCACTGCACAGCAAGAAGGGTATTTCTGCAAAATGCTGGATGGCCAGATGGAGGGAGGATTTCATTGTACAAGAAACAAAAAATGGTTTTATAAACATGAGAAATGAAAATCTGTTACAGGTGCTCCAAGAACCACAGTTCAGACATATAGTACGCAGCACGATTAGAATATTCTCAACAAAAGTTTGTTTCTTTTTTAATGTGGCATTTCTGAGCTAAATCCCCGGCCCATAACAAAAGTTTTAAATGAAAATCTTCGTATTAAAAGGCAGTGTAGGGGGCCCGGGATTTAGCTCAGTGGCACCTCGATTGCAAGGTCCTGAGTTTGATCCCCAGTATTGGGGAAAAAAAGGCAGTGTATTCCCCAGTACCACTAATTAAAACATGGCACAGAGGGGCATCTCTCCAGCTGGGGGTGTTGGTGTTGCTTAGTAGTAGAGTGCTCACCTGGCATGCACGAGGCCAGAAGAAAGAGGAATGTGAATTCTGGAGCCACACTGCTTTGGTTCAAGTCTTTAAACTATAATGTACTGCTGTGTAATCAGAAGTAAATTACTTAACCTCTGTTCCTGTTTCCTCCCAAATGATCAGAGGATAAAGCTGGCGCCTGTCTAGTAAATTGCTATAAGGTTCACATGAGTAAGGTGACTCTACAGTTCTCACAACAAACTGGAACAGGGCCGGGGCTTTAGCTCAGTGGTTCTGCCGCCTGACTCGCAAGTGCAAGGTCCCGAGTTTGATCCCCAGTACAAAAAAAAACCAAAAAACAATCTGGAACAATAACTGTTAAACACTTTATCACCCCCTCAGATAAAAGCCATTTTTTTTCTTCCTGTACCAGGGATCGAACTCAGGACCTTGTGCTTGGAAGGCAGGCGCACTACCACTGAGCTAAATCCCTGGCCCTAAGAGCTATTAACAGAAGGCTACGTGAGGTAAACAAGGAAGGTAAATTCTACGAGATGCAGCCACCCATTTCCTCATCATCATGTTTTGATGACAGCACCGTGGCAGGCACTGTGCCGCAAAGGAGGAAGTGCCACCCTCCAGGTTCCTGGCCCCAACAAGGGAAAAGTGAATTAACACTGGAGCACCTGTGTGCCACAGGGGTGCAGAGATGCTTCCATTTGCTCCTCACACCAGCCAAAGCAGATGTCACATGCCAGACAGGGAATGAGGCTGGGAGAGAGAAGCAAGGCAGCAGCGATGAGAACCCTTGTCCCGGGGCACCTTCCTCTCCAGCTGTTCCCTCAACAGCTCCAAGGGGCTGGCAGGTCATGTAGCATGGCTGCCACCAGGCCGGCAACAGCATTCAGAAGTTTGTGTCAATCGGCAAGTACTGAGACTACTTCTGCAGGTGCGCAACGGCAGCCCCAGGAAACGCTGTGACTCAGTCCGAGCTCGTTCCCTGTGTTCAGGACAGAACCCCTCAGGCCAAGGGTGCCTAGAAATCAGACTACCCAACACTCGCTGGGTAAAAAGTTCCCAACGGTACGCACAGTTGGCCAGCATTCGCGACTCAAAGGCAGAAACAAAGAGGGTGGGGGTGGGGGTCACACGAGGTGGCTCGAGGGAGGGGACAGGCACAGGTGGCGTCCCCGAGAGCAGGGAGGACGGGGTCGCTCGGGGTCTGCCCGCCGCGCGCACACAGCGGGCCCTGCCTCCCGGCCTCACCCACGTCCCGCGGGAACTCGCCGGGGCGCCCTGGGCCCACCCGGCCGCAGAGGGCGGGGGTGTCCTCCAGGGTGGACGGGAGCCCGCAGACCTCGCTGCTCGGCGCGGGCGGGGAGCCCGAAGCCCGAGGCCGCGACCCTAACTCCTCCCCTAGTCCCCGGGCGCCAGCAGCGGCCTAGACCCGGTCCGCGACGGCCTCGTGAGCCCCGTCCTTCCCCAGTTCTTGGGGTCGGCCTCGGCCTGAGGGCGTCCCACCCACCTGGACGAGATCCCTGCCTCCTGCACTGCCGAGCCCCGCTGCCGCCGAGCCCGGCCCAAGGCCAGAAAACCGCAGCTCTCAGCCCGCGACCCACTGACACCGAGGCGGAAGTGCGGCCCGCAGCCTCGCCGACCGACAGCGCGTACAGCCACTCGTCGCGCCTGGCGCTGTCGCGTAGGACATCGCTCACCCAATCAGCCTCAGGCCCGAAGGCCGCACCGGAGGGCGGGACTATGCTGCTCACGTCGCCCGGGTGACCTCTCCCCGCCCCCCCTCGGGAATCCCGCCTACTCGGAGGAATGACTGCACACATAACCAATCACTGCAGGGGAGAGGTGGAGTCATGCAGATACTGACCGGGGAGGGGCGAGCGAGGAGGAAAGGGCGTGGCCGAGGAAAATGCGAGTTTACAAACAGTGAGTCAGGTGGTCCCGGGCGGAGGCGCTCTGCGGCTCGGGCGCTGGGAGACTCGTCCCTCCACTGTCCTCCCGGGGGGGTGGGGGGTGGGGTGGGGTGTGTGTGTGTGTGTGTGTGTGTGTGTCGGGGGGGGGGTCCTCCAGATACTGGGAACGGGGTAAATGCCAAATATCATCCTCCCGCCTTTGCCTGCCACTCGTCGCTTACCAAAATCCCGCGTCAATATAGCCCTCCAACTGCAGCCCTGACTCTCCCGTTTAAAGCCCTCCACTGGCCTCCCTTGGCCCCGCCAGCATGCCCAGAAGCTCAGGTGGCGCACCTGGAGCTTGTATCCCTACCCGGTGTTAGGCCTTGGACAAGTTATCTAACCTCTCTAAACCTGTGAGCACCCAGAGTTTCCTTTGCAAAGGAGTGTTCCCGCACCCTTATGCCATTTGAACTGGGACTCTGGTTTGTGATAAATGGAGTGAATGCACCAAGCGGCTATTCAGACTCAGCAACTGGTTGGGGAGAGCATATGGCCCTGTCCTGTCCTAGGAGGCTCAGCTCTGGGCTTCACTGCAGCTTCAGAGAACAGAGCAGAAGTCAAACGACTCTCATCTGCCTACAGACCACCCCAGATTGAAGCCTTGGACTGCTGGTAAGGGTCTTGCCACCTGAGGAGCAAGGAACATGGGAATGAAGCCAAAGATTGGAAGGAATAAGAGCAAATACCACTGAGCCACCTGGAACCAGCTGTAAGATCTAGCCTAGATTTTTCAGTCATCTGAACAACTGCATTTTCTCTTCTGCTCAAGTCAATTTAAGGTGGAGTCAAAAAGGTATAGGTCCCCTGAAACCGCAAGAACACTGATCAGTTACCCATGATCCCACAGCACATTGATGCACTGAGCATGCCTCTTCTACAGAGCCAGCCCTAGGGCCAGCACTCCCTCCTTGGAATGTGTCTCTCCACTTCCAGCAGAGTGTGTGTGTGTAACACACAGGTCTCCCTTAGCAGGACCAAGGGTGACTTGAAGGCAGGGGCCACCCTTGGCTACTTCTGTGGCCCCTAGGCAGATACTCTGCCCTCATAAATACTGCGGTGCTAATGAGTGAATGGGGCCTCTGTGGCAGGGGCCCAGGCCTCTTTTCCAGCCCCCCATCCCAGGGACTGCCTCAGCTCACTGGTGGGCCCACTGTCAGCTGGGCTGTGGAGATGTGGCAGGACTGAGAAGGAGCGCCCTGTGCTGCTCTAGAAGAGAGCCGAGATGGGAGGGAGGCAGCTGGCCTCCACAACAAAGGCGTTACCATGGTTACCTCTGAAGAGAGCGACTGTGCCAGCAGAGGGAAGGGTGCGGCGGCATGTGGCCCCCAAGCCAGGACAAGGACGACAGGATGGTTGCTACGGAGATGACCAGGCTGACCAGACTCCGTCCCTTCCCTGGAGGCCTGGCCTAGGACCAGCTCAAGGTCCTGGATGCCCACCACCCTCCACTCCCCTCACCCCAGTTCTCTAAGACTGACCCATGTTGTGCCCCCGAGAGGTTCAAGCACCCCCACGCACACCATCAGCTCCTGAGGTCAGAGGCTCAGGCAGAATGCCCTGCCATCTACTCAGGACCACCCTGGTTGAGTATGGCCATCTCCACCCTGGGGGTGGGGTGGGCACACTCCAGTGGCACATGGACCCTGGGCTAGGACAGGGTTTTACCCCCTTTAAACAGCTGCTGCCTCCTCCTGCCTGGTCCCTACTGTCGGAGTTGGGTGGTGGGCAGCTGAGGGTAAGCACCCCGAAGCCGGTGATGGGGATGCCCTAGGAGCACTTGGGGCACCTTTCACCATCTTTGCAAGGTCAAGAGGCAACTTACAGAGCCAGACTTGTGCAGGAATGAGACAGAAGAGAGGAGCAGCTTGGAGCCACGCCAGGATGAGGATGAGGAGGGCGGTGATTCTGACAGTGACCCCTGAGTGCGCTGTGACTTACATGCCTCGGCTGGTTTCCCCTCTGCAATGGCAAAGCAAGTGACCGCTGCAACATCATCCCCACTTTAGAGAGGGGCAGACTGAGGCTCCGACAGGTTAACTGGGGTGTGCAGTGAGGAAGAGGCAGAGCTCTCCCCAGACCAGCCCAGGCCCTACAAGCCCCTGCCTGTCTGTGACGGCCAGTCCCCACAAGGTCCAGCAGCAATGGCTATGTATGCTGTCAGGTTCTGAGATGTGCCAGTTTGGTGGGCCGTTCTGGGGTGTCTGCTGGTCTGTGGACCATGTTTGGGTGCATGCTCCCCCTTGAACTTTTTTGAGACCAAGCTAAGCCGAAGAGCAGTCCCACAGCAATGTCTGTCTGTGATGCCCCCAGCCCAGCGTGCCATGGATGATTAGCACCTCCCTGTCCCACCTTCTGAATTTGGGGGAGCAACATGGATGGCCCTCTGGGTCTTGAGAGGACCCTGGGAACCAAGCCAGGCCCGAGCACTCAGGGTGGAGGGCGAGGGCTCCCTGCCCGAATCTCTGGACCCCGCCCCGATTGTCTTAGCCCAGAATGAGAACGCATCCCCTCTGCTGCAGAGGCAGCTCACCAGTCAGTGGACATCATGATCCACGGCCCGCCCTCGGGCACCAGCTTCCCTGTGGGTGGCCAGGGCCACCAAGGAGCACATGCCTGGAGTGTCCAGCCTCCTGCCCTCTCCAATGAAGGAAGCACAGAAGAGAGTATGGCTCCCCATTCCAGATGGGGAAACTGAGGCTCAAAGGGCAGAAGCAGCTTGCCCAGGGTCCAATAGCCTAGCAGGGCAGCAGTGCCAGCCTTGCCCACAGCCCGCTGCCCTCCACCCCACTGCACACTGACCTGATTGTGGGTTTCTGGGTCTGGGGTTATCGCTTCATCTGGGCCCCAGTCCAGCACGGCCCCATCAGACCAGCCAGAGCTTGGCGTCCAAGAACCTGGTGCCTCCACATGACGGCCCACCTGGCTGGCCGCTGGAGGGCCTGGCCTGAGGTTTCTCTGCCCACTTCTCCCAGGCCTGCAGAGCAGGCTTCCACACGCCCTCCTGGGGCATCCATGGAGCCGGTTATATGGATGCAGCCAGGAGCAGCCTGACCACGGAGCCCTGGCCCTGTCTCACGAGGCTCAGGCCGATCCCTCCCCCCAACTTTCAAGTCTCCCTGCAACGTGACAGCACTCGGCTTTCTTGTCGTCGGGAAGAGGGTATTTTTAGGTTTGAACCCGCCTCATGAAGAGACAAGTTATCAATAGCAGCAGCAAAGGGCTTTTTCTTGTTCTTGTTCTTTTTATTTTTTCCCATGTCTTTGGGACCTGAACAGTCTGCACCCATTAAATTCTGCCAAAAGATATAAAGGAGAAAGGTGTTCCTCTTACAAACTTTTTACCCCGCAGCATCCTCACTGCGGGGGCTTTGCCAGCCAGCTCGGATCTGACCCCATCTGACTCAGCAGCCCCCACCCCACCCCCTGTCCTGTGTCAGGTTCATGTGCCCGGTGACTGTGACACTGCCCCGCAGGGTGAGGGCAGGGCTCAGGAATGTGCAGGACAGAGTGGGGCAGGAGGCCCTGACTTCCACTTCCGCTCTGGAGCCCTCCCCTGTGAGCTTCCTCGTAGCAGCCCAGTTTTACCCAGCACATGCTGTGTTCCCACACTGGGCTGCGTACCTCTGAATGCACTGTCTCAGCCAAATCCCCAGCCACCCACAATCGGGGTGATAGAGGGGTGCCGAGAAATCCGGGGGGCCTGCGGTCTCAAGGCCTCAGAGGCTGTCATCTGGCATTTCTGGAGGACCGGAGTCCCAGTCAAGCAGATTTGGGAAAACTGTTCAAGCAAAGCCAACAGGCATCCACCACAGCGCTTCCCGGAGCACTAGGGCACCAGATGGGCCCAGTGAACACCCGGGTCTATCAGAACCACGAAGCCTTCTCCGTGAAGTTGCTTGCAGGACACTGAGTGGCCTCCTACTTGCTGGGGGGACATTTGAGCCAACTTGGGTGCTTGCCCTTCAAGATTAGAGCTCCATGTCTGAGAAAGCCCAGAATAACAGACTCCAACAAAATGAAAATGTGCTTGTCTCTCATGTGACACAGCCCACACTGTCCAGGCTGGGGAAGCCGGCTCCTCTCTTACTGCGTCATTTGCTTCCACTCTCATTGCCACCTCGTAGCCCAGAATAGTCACAAATCTGGCCAGAAAGGAGGAAGCCTAGAGTAAGGGCAGAAGTCCTGATCCCTCAGATGAGTCAGCTTCCTTTGAAGGTCTATCCGCACAGATACACCAGGTACTTCTGCTCACATCTCACTGGCAAAACTTCATCCTATGCCACTTTAGGCAGGACAGCAGCATTTTAGCTAAGTGCATTGCCAGCCCAAGCAAAACAGAGCTAAGGGGATTATGGATGGCCCTCTGTGAGAGAGCCCTTCCTGCTGGTCTTACTCAAGAGGGACCCCTGAGACCACTGGACCCAGTGTCTCCCTAGACCCAGAGGTGTGGACACCCTGGAAGTGGGTTGTGTGTGCCCTGCAATAGTCAGACGCGGGCTCAGGATGCTGCCTCAGCGGGCAGCACTGGGCATGAGATGACCGTGCAGCTCAGTCCCTGGTACACTTGCCATGGGTGACCTGTGCCCCTCTGTCTGCGCCCAGCATGGTTGCCTTCTCCCTAGCTGTCTGTCCCCGGCTGGTGGGAGGTGGCTCACATCTCCTCTCCCCGTGCCTGTTGTGGCTGG